GTAGTTATGTTTGAGTCATTTTCTTGTTCTTTTTTACTTTTTTAAAAGATTTTATTTATTTGAGAGAGAGAGAGCACGAGGTGGGGGAGGAACAGAAGGAGAAGCAGACTCCCCATTGAGCAGGGAGCCCAACTCGGGGCTCGATCCCAGAGCCCTGGGATCATGACCTGAGCCGAAGGCAGGCGCTTAACTGACTGAGCCACCCAGGTGCCCTGAGTCATTTTCTTTTTAGATTTGAATGCTCATTTTAGGAAAGGAAGAGCAGAAATTACTTCATTTTCAAATACAATAAAATTACATTAAGTATGGGCAGTGGTAATTACTGATTGCCATTTATCATGGGTCAGGGCCAAAGTTTATTTTTCTCTATTGTATGAATTATTATTAGACCTGCACTTGGGGTCAGGTGGATAAATAAATGCCCAAGTAAACTGCTTTCAAGCACACCTGAATAACTTAAGAATTTCTACCAATAAAATCTTGACATATTAATTATAAATAATTTTATTTATTTTTAAATATTTATTTGAGAGAGAGAGAGAGCAGGAGCAGGGGGAGCAGCAGCAGAGGGCAAGGGAGAAGCAGACTCCCCGCTGAGCAGGGATCCCGACACGGGACTTGATCTCAGGACCCTGGGATTATGACCTGAGCCGAAGGCAGATGTTTAATCGACTGAGCTACCCAGGTGCCCTAATTACAAATAATTTTAAAAATCTATTCTTTAAAAACAAGTCTTTGTAAGGATTTTATGAGGGAACTTTTTTTTTTTTAACCTAATTGATGTATTTGAAAATATGGAAGTTTGGTAGGTTAGGGAAATCTTCAGGAATAAGATTAACCTTGAGTGATCCTGACAGACTCCGGAATGCAAATGGTAAGTACAGCACATTGGCAGAAGTGAAGCTTTCCTTAGGAGAGCAGAGGAAGAGAAAAAATGGGGAATATAAAATAAGTTCATAGTAGGAATAAGAAGGCCATTTAGTTCTTTTAAAAAGAGCGTTTCATAGGTTGATTCACAATAGTTTTTTTTTCCTCTTAAATTATTTTGGTTTTTTCCTTAGACATAACTAGAAAAAAGACCACTAACACTGCAAATTGGTAGTCTCTGGTAATACTTTAATTCTAATTGGCAAAGAAAGGAAATAGAGAATTAGGACAGTTTTAAATGATTCTTAACATTTTTTGGTTCCCAGTTCAATCAGCATAGTCATCAACCGACATTTACTCTGAACCCCTTGGGTGAGTGGCATTGAACCAAATCCCACAAACAATAATATCTTCGGGCACCTGGGTGGCTCAGTTGGTTGGGCAACTGCCTTCTGCTTGGGTCGTGATCCCGGGGTCCTGGGATCAAGTCCCTCATCCAGCTTCCCTTGCTCTGTGGGGAGCCTGCTTCTCCCTCTCCCTCTGCCTGCCATTCCCCCTGCTTATGCTGTCTCTCTGTCAAATAAATAAATAAAATCTTAAAAAAAAAAAGAAATATCTTCTGCCTATGTGAACAAACTGGTAGTTGAACTATTGCTCTCAGAAGCTGTGGATAATAAGGGTTGATGCTAATATGTTGTGAGATTCCAGTCTTGGGGTCATGAGGTTAAGAAAGGAAAAATACACAATGAAAAAATTTTTTTTTGAAAAATAGAAACCGTATTTACTTTTTATGTTGAATAAAGAAGTCACTGTCCTATGCAATGAAACATTAAATGTCAAATTATTTTTTAATATTTCACCAAATATTATTTTAGCTTAAAAGAGTTGAATTTTATTTGATTGATCATTGTATGAATAATGCAAAGTAAACTTTCATTTTGACAAGTAAAATAAGGAGGTGAGTTGATTCAGAGCATATCAAGTAGAATCTTAAGTGATTTATGCCTTCACTGAAAACTCAAATACAAAGAAATCTTGGTGGATAAGATGTCAGAAATTTGTGACTGAAACCTATTTTTTACCTGATCTCCATGGTTAATATCACATTTAATATTGCGGTATTTTTCATTCTATAGTACTAAAAATGTTTCTTTAAAGAATGATCAGATTTTAAGTATTTATCTTTTCCTGGTAGTCCTCCCTCCTTTTCTAATCCCTCCCTACCCAATCTCTTTTTGCTCCGGTAGGGTTCCTATTGCTGGCTACCCAGTCATTACCATTCTAATACCATTTAAGGTAGCTCTGCTGGGTTTATTCATTTTGAGTCCTTCAATCCAGTTTCTCTTTGAACCTGGATTCCTAAATCAAGTTGACAAACCAGTTTATTTTTCTCCCTTTTCATTTCAACAATTCGTGATTCAGATTGGTAGGAAAATATAATGTAATCCGGGCACAACCTCTTCCCCTTGGAATCAGTATTTGCGAGGCTTCCTCCTTTCCTTGGCTGAACGTGCTTAAGTCAGGCAGAGTACCTAGTGAAGGACTTCAGCCCCCACAGTTCCCTGTGTGCGCATGCCCTCTCTTCTTACAGTTGTCAAAGTGCTTTTGCCAGAGCGGTCACATAATCAACCTGAAAGAAGAAAATAAATACTGTACACTTTTTTAATTTTATCGATCCTTAAAAACTGGACACTCAAAGGTAACTGCTACTAAGAATTTGTTACTTGAGATTGGGTGATTGCATGTAAAGGAAGATCTATTGTGTGTGTGATGGGGGAGGGGAAGGAGGTATCTATTTCTCGGACTTCGCTGTAAATAAGAAAAAAGAAAAAAGAAAAAAGAAAAAAAGAAACACACCCAAACAAACTATACAAGCAGTTACCGAGAGACATTGCATTTTAACTTCGTAAATGTTATTTTAATCTATTGCTTTCCTTTTGTTTAAAAGGGTCTTATTTATTAAAGATGGGTCTTGACCTTGACAGAGTGAATTTATGCAGAAAGTGAAATTTATCTCTTTAAGGAGTGTTGAGAAGAGAAATGGGTGTTCCTGGTATGATAAAATTTTTTAAATTCAGTAAATATATTAATTATAGCCTTCATAAAAGATTGAGTCCAGCTTACTTTTTAGTTTTTTTGCTATAGTGTAGCATTAATTTTTCCATCAAGAGCATGTAGTCTAAACTGAAGGCATTAACAAAAAGCATCGATACAAGCATTGGGAAAGCTGAGTGATATTAAAATAATAATCAAATGCATATTTCAGCCATGATGATATGGCTATTGTAAAGATAATTCTAGCCCACTGGAAGCAACTCAGATCCCAGATTATAATGGTTTACTGCAGCACTGCTTAAACCAAGTATGAAAATGTCTCTTTCTATGACCATTTCCTTCGGCAGCGATAGAACTTTGTGCTGTTGTGAATACAAGCTTTGCTTGCCTCTTTGTGTCATATTTTACAATACTAATCAAAGCCATTGTTTTAGACCAAGGGAACTGAGGAACATAAAATCAATATGTAGGTTTTATTGGTAGTAGCTGGCAACTTGTGAGGTATATTGGGCTGGGTTTGGGGGGGGGTTAGAGGGGAGGGAAGAGAAGAGAGTGAGGTGGCTATGAAGCATTTCCTTGAGCCCACTATTTTGTGTATGAAACTTTAAAATTAAAGATTAACCATTTTAAAGATAGTCTTTAATAAAATAGTACTACTTTAATCCCATTTCTTGATCTGACATATTTTGCCTAGTAGTTAAGAGTGATGGCATCTCCATTTTCCAATACATTTATTTTATGACAGTTATCATGAGGTTGTCCAAAGGCAGAGCTTCTGTGTGATTCTGAACGTCCTTTCACAAGTGTTCTGGGAAAGATGCTTCTCCAAGTATCTGAGTTAATTAAGTAACTGCATTAAATATATTAACAACTTTGTTGTGATCATACTGAATCATCGTCTAAAAATAATTATATGTTTGGTCATATCCTCCTTTAACATCTCAAAATATTTGTTTTTAGGGTCTCAGCACTGTAATATTCATATATTTAAAACAATTAACATGTTCTAAAGGACAAACTAACTCAGTGATAACTATGTGTATGGAAATCTCCTGATTTTGAAGGATTACTGTTTTTATCCTTGAATGAGAAAACAGGCTGTATGGCAGAGGTGAATATAGGCCTTCTATGAGAGATGGAAAATACCATACGCTCCTTATATGGCTAAATGAAGCAGTGATGGCAGTGCACTATAATTACAATGTATGAGAATTTGGGACTTTGTACTATGCTATTTTTAACACTTTTGCTAGCATATGGTAATTCAGGGTCTTCAAACCATAATCTTTCATTGCTAATACCAGTGATAAGAGAATGGATTCTAAATTTGCCAAAGTCTTGTGACCAAGGCAGCATCAGGAGGATTCAAAAATGAAAATCTGGCAACCCCAAAAGTATCTTGATTTTCTACTTAAATCTCAGGGGGATTTTTTTTTTTAAAGCTCCGCCCCCACCCCATCTCACAGTCAGTCTGTCTCTGTCTTTCGCTCTCTCTGACCTCAAATCCAACCAGAACATTTCTCCACGCTGCAGAGAAATTTTCAGGCTCCTGTTGAGACCTGAACCACTGAGAAGCTAAGAAATTTCTTGTATGGCAGAATTGGAGACAAGGAGATTGGAGAATAAGCAGAAAAACCTAATCCTTAGAGTGTAACAAGAAGCAAGCGCTTACAAACGTTTCAGTAGATTTTTACCTCTTTAAAAACGGTGGGGTTTTTTTGTTGTTTTGTTTTGTTTTTAATGTCTCCTAACAAAATGGAGTAGCTTGCAGCTACTGGGAGGCCAGAGAATGATTGTGCAGCTGAGTCCTCCTCCTAACAAATGCCAAGGATTTCCTCCCTCGTGGTTCGCTGCTGCTAAATGAAACAATTATCAACGCAAGAAGGCAGTTTGCTAATCAAGAGGGATAAGACTGCTGTTTCTTTAAAGTGCCGAGCACGGAAAGGGGAAGAAAGGGTCGTGTGCCGTGTCTTTTTAACCTTGCTGAAGGACGCAGCAGTATTTATTGACGTATGCAAATAACTGGGGAGGGTGGTGCTTGGGAAAAAACAGGAACCAGAATCAGTTTCTCATTGCAGGGTGAACGCTCTGAGTTCCGGTGAAGGGAAAAGAGACGTGGCGAAATTGCTGTCTTTCTGTCTTATAAGCACATCTCTCACTAATACAGAAAAGGAACCAAGACATCAGAAAGGGTGAAGACGCTCTCACAGTATTTTTAGAGACCTTGCACGAGCCCCCTCCCCCCGCCCCATCCCCAGCCCGACCTGTTCTTCTAAATGGGAGATTATGGATTTGCATTGCAATTGGCTAGTAGCGGTGGCACTGGATTTTCGCAAGGAAAACACCCGCCAGCTTTAGCGAGGGGCATTAACGATCACATTGACAATAACGCGTCTCTCTTTTTTCCCGTTTCAGCTGCGCAAACCATGCAGGATGATTTACTGATGGACAAAAGCAAAACCCAGCCCCAGCCCCAGCAGCAGCGGCAGCAGCAGCAGCCCCAGCCCGAACCCAGCGCAGCCGAAGCCCCGTCCACGCCCCTCTCCTCAGAGACCCCCAAGCCGGAGGACAGCAGCGCAGTGCCGGCCCTCAGCCCCGCCGCGGCCCCGCCGGCCCCCAACGGCCCCGACAAGATGCAGATGGAATCGCCGCTCCTGCCGGGCTTGAGTTTCCACCAGCCCCCTCAGCAGCCGCCGCCGCCGCAGGAGCCCGCGGCGCCGGGCGCGTCGCTGTCGCCGTCCTTCGGCAGCACCTGGTCCACGGGCACCACGAACGCGGTGGAGGACAGCTTCTTCCAGGGGATCACCCCAGTCAACGGGACCATGCTCTTCCAGAACTTCCCGCACCACGTCAACCCAGTCTTCGGAGGCACCTTCTCTCCGCAGCTCGGCCTGGCGCAGACCCAGCACCACCAGCAGCCGCCGCCGCCGGCGCCGCAGCCCGCGCAGCCCGCGCAGCCCCCGCAGGCGCAGCCCCCGCAGCAGCGCCGCTCGCCCGCCAGCCCCAGCCAGGCGCCCTACGCGCAGAGGAGTGCCGCCGCGGCGTACGGCCACCAGCCCATCATGACCAGCAAGCCGTCCTCGTCCTCGGCTGCAGTAGCCGCCGCGGCCGCAGCCGCCGCTTCGTCCGCCTCGTCCAGCTGGAACACGCACCAGAGTGTGAACGCCGCCTGGAGCGCGCCGTCCAACCCGTGGGGCGGCCTGCAGGCGGGACGGGACCCTCGCCGGGCGGTCGGCGTGGGCGTGGGCGTGGGCGTCGGGGTGCCCTCACCGCTCAACCCCATCTCACCACTCAAAAAGCCCTTCTCCAGCAATGTGATCGCGCCGCCCAAGTTCCCCCGCGCGGCCCCGCTCACCTCCAAGTCCTGGATGGAGGATAACGCTTTCCGGACGGATAATGGTAACAATCTGTTGCCATTTCAGGTAATGCTCCAGTGCACCTGCACACACCTTCCTTCTACCCCGCTCCCTTTGCCCCTTCTTCCCTGCTATTTAATCGTCCATTGATTCTTGTTCTTTAAAAAAGGCAGCGATGTCCAGCCCCCCTGTCCGCTTCGAAAGCCTCCATTTCACCAGGGCTGTTCCAGTGCCGGGGACAAGGTTGGGGGAACATTGTGACTGTTTGAGGAATCATATTTAAGCACCCTGATAAGATAGAAAAGGGCCTTTTTCTTTTGGTATATTTTTCCTTCACCGTGTGCGTGCCTCTTATATTGACCTTCTTTGACAAAGGTGCAAGTGTATGGCAAGGTGCTGGGTTGGTCCCAGGATGAGTAGGCTGAGATTCCTGTCATTTTAAGTAGCTACACATTTCAGGTTATGCAATCCTGGGTTCAGAGTGCCTCCTGAAAGCCATCCACTCCCAAACTACGCTGGGCCTACTCTTAAAGAGGTTAACAGCCCTTGAGTGGTGCTATTTCAGACAGTTGCATATGCTCAATTAAACTAATGTGAACACATGTGTTTATGTCTCGCTGAGGTGCTGGCATCATTAATAGCAATCAGCATATTGCCCCTGCTGGGAAAATTATGAGTGTGAGATTCCAGCAAACTCCCGAACTCCTTCAGGGAACGAGTTGGAAGAGTGGAAATTCTAGGGGTGACCCTTCCTATGTTACCTAGAAGAAGGACTTAGACATTGTTTTCTTCTAGAGCAAAGAGACAATAGGACGCGACCTTCAGAGCCATATTGCAATGGAGTCTATTTGCTAGCTAGCACTGAAATATTTAAAGCTGCAGTGTCCTTCAGATGGGTTATTTAAGAAGACAATGCAGATCAATTACACCATTTGAAACTGGGCAGAGTGAAAGTCTTGCAACTTTAATGAAAAATGAGCCTTGTGTCTTGGTGTTAAATACCAGTGAAAGACCCAGGAAGTGCCCCAGACAAAAAAAGGTTGAATGGAGTGTCCTTATTCTGTTCTTGTTTTCTGATCCAGCCCACGGCCACATCGGTTGGCAGTGTCCTGAACATCTTGATTTGGAAAGGGGTGGTGAGGGTGAGTGTTCACTGGGGGCTTTTGTTCTCAGGCAAACATTTTCCTTCACTTACAAATTGATTTGGCTATAAGCTTCTAAGCTCAGCTGAAAAAGAAGAGAAGAAAGGAAGGAGAGAGGAGGGCTTTGGATAAGACCCAGTTGGGGTAGTCAAGGAAATGAAACAAATCTTTTGAGCATTGCTGAAAAATGGCAGAACCGAAATTTGACAGAGGTAGTTTAAAGCATCAGGTGCAATTGGAACTTCATTTTGTTGTTCTTTACATTTCAGATGTGACGTTTGGGGTGGCTCCCATCCATGAAGAAGGAGATAGGGTTATTGAGAAGCACATGATTCTCTAGGCTACAGCAAGGATTTTTAACCTTGACAGTTCAGGGGAGGTCCATGAAACTTGGAAATTGTGTGTATGAGAGTTTTTCATGAGAGAGAATCTTCACAAATTTTCACAGGGGTCCTTTAGGAATGGAAGATTTTAATATTAAGGTGTATTTCTTTCCATTCTAAAGTTTGTTTTGATAAAATGAAGAGGCACTGCAAGGTGGGATTAGTTTGGTAGAGAAAAAGAGGAATCTGCTTTCTGGAATTTCTCTATGTGCTTATTTTTATGCTGAGGGGATAGAACAGGGAGGCTGCATTTGGTAGGAGAGCCCTTCTTTTTCCAACAGTTCCTCTTTTCATTTTGATGCTCCCTATCCAAGTCCATCTTAGAAAATAACCTAAAATCTGAGTGGGAGTTTTAGAGGTGAGAGCTGACGGTATAGACATCAGTTACCTTTTTCTAGGCACTGAATCTGAATACAACTAGCTTTTGATTAATTATCTCTGGAAGTGAGGGCTGGGGAGAGATTAAATCCATAAAATTTCCCCCAAACTGATATTGACAAGTAGTGCATGGATTGCCAGTTGTTTCTCAGCAAACCATTTACCAGCAATGCTAATGAGAGCCAGACAGACTGGTTTGAGTTTGGTTTCTTGTCTTTTTATCCCTGGTGGTGCTATTGAGTAGGCAAAGATGGCCAAAAGACTTGTGCAAGGAGAGATTTTATTAAAAAATGAGTTTTATATATTTGGCCTCAGGAAAAATTACATGGACTTTATGTCTCACATCTTTGTCTTACTTAAAATGGAGCTTCAGGGTTTTGAAGCAATATTAGAACCAGATTAGAAGTAACCTGGTTGTGTTTTCGTTTGGGGTTAGGATATTATAAGACTTTGTGTTAAGTATATCACATGTTTAAAAAACAAAAACAAAACACCTTGAGTCTTGTGTTTAGAATTTTACGTTTGTGCATTTATTTAAATCATTTTTCTATGAAGGGAGGAAATATCTTAAGTAGTCCTAGAGACTATTTTACAGACTCTGAGCTAAAAGGGGCTTGCAACGGTGATCTACTCTAATATATCTTAATATGTATTTGTAAAATCATATCCCCTCAGTGTTGTTTCACTCTCTTTTGCCACCCAACACAAAAGATTTTTTTGGAGCTTTACTTCTGTGGTTTATATTGTAAAAGCAATAACTGTATTTGAATGTGGTTTTCCAAACTATACATTTCCTTACCCCCTTCCCTCAATTCTAACAAAGTTGATTGGTTTCCCTGAGTTGGGGTGGCTGCTTCCTTCAGGTTTACTTGTATCTAAACACCACTTCATATCTGTAAACAAGGAAACTGAGGTCCTAAGAGGTAGAGTGACATAGTTCCAGTCCTAGGGGTTTGGCTAATTTTGTTGATGTGTGTACTTAACTTCCCTATTAGCACTAGTGGTGTCAGGTAGAATTCATTTTAAGTCAGATTCTCTTTGGGCTCCATTCAAAGGGACTTAGTTATGAAACTATCTAGTGAGGTTCTCTGTCTGGCTGATGCCTCTTGGTGATGTACCTCGCACTAACAGGCTCAGGAACAGTGAGACACTCCACTGGGGGAATTATAAATATGCGTCATTCTATATTTATATAAGACAGAGAAGCCTACGTATGTAAAAGGACCAAAGCAGAGATGTTTTCTGTATGTAGTAAATTTGGGTTTAAATAGCATTTTTATCCAGAGGAGTTTAGAAGGGACTTTTAAGAATACCTGTTCCACAGCTCTGTTCATTTTCTAAAGGAGGAAATTGAAATCCCAATACGTGAAATTCCTTGCCCAGGTTTGGGTGGGTAGTTTCTGTCCGAAGCAGGCTTTGTCTAGGTTCAAATTTCAACTCTGCCAGTTACTTGCTTTGTAATCTTGAGCAAATTATGTATACATATTGACCCTCATCTGTAAAATGGGAATAATAATAATTCCTTGCTTCATACGAGAAACCTGATATTAGCACAGTGCTTGATCCAAAGTAAAGTACCACATAGATGTTGGGCTACAATTATTGTTATTGTAATGGTACCTGGAGGTTCTGTATGATTTTATAGTATGGATCACTGATTTTTCATATAGTGCAGTCTGAATAACTGTAAACTTCTATATAATGTTATTTGGTCTTTTTTTTCTGTCTGAAGGTATCCTCTGGTTACTGTAACAATTTGATGACCCACAGTTTACTTATGGGCCAGGCCCTGTGCTAAACACTTCAGTTATAATTCCTCATTGGATCTCCTTTGAGGTTCAGGACTATTATAACCCTCATTATACTGACAGAGAAATTGAGAGTTAATACATTTACTTTATTTGCTCAAGATCACACAGCTGGTAACTGGCAGAGTTGGGATTTGAAGCCAGGCAGTCTGCCTCTGGAGCCAAGTCTCCACTATAATACCTTGAGTATAATAACTCCAGGGCATCAGTTAACACTGTAGTGTAGAAGCAGGAGACTGGGCTGAATCTGTACTTGATCTTATGATATACCCTGGAAATAGTGCTTTTAAAAAAATTTGTATTGTTGGAAATGGAGGAAGAAAAATATAGTGCCCATACATTTACTACCACTTACTTGCAACAGTAGTCAGTATATCCCCCTATTTATTTATTTACTTACTTAATTTATGTATTTTTGAATATTGTATTTTTGGAAAAAATTCAAATTGTGTTTTGCTTTTTTTCTGCATCTCTGCCTTTATCCCTCTTGTCTTCCCTCACCCCAAATTAAAGGTAATTATACAGATTTTATATTTTCTGGCATAAGTCTAGTTAATTGTAATTTAGTGTTAATTTTGCTAGTGGGTTATCTGTACCAGAGGAACAAATTCCTTACATGAATTAATGGGAATATAGATCATTATTATTATTATATATTTTAGAGAGAACATAGGGGAGGGAGGATGGGGAAGGGCAGAGGAAGAGGGAGAGAGAGAATCCTTAAACAGGCTTTATGTTCATCTCAGAGCCCTACACAAGGCTGGATCCCAGGACGCTGAGATCATGATCTGAGCCAAAATCAAGAGTCGGATGCTTAACCACTGAGTTACCCAGGTCCCCCAGGAATATAGATTATTTTAAAAAATAAATATACCTATTCATAGTAAATTTTGAGGAAACAGTAATATCTTCAACCAGTCTATGCTTCCCTCCCCTTTTTTTTTTTGTAAACCATCTTTTTAGGAAGTAGTATAAATTACCTAGTTATGCTTACTTTTGACCAAGGATAGTATGACCTAGATTTAAAACTGGAGACTCTTCTGTAGTTGGTTTGTTAACTACTGCTCTAATGCAAAACCACTTAAGGTCCACCCAACCCCACAGACTGTTTCAGAACCTATTATGGCATGGTTACTGTGAATGCCAACAAAGCTACATTATCTATATTCTATTTAAAAGAGGGATTGGTTAGAAAATATTAGAAGGTTTTCTATGCTACTAAAAACTAATCTAGTAATATAAACTGTATACTTTAATATTGCGTATTGAAAAATAGTTAGATTTAAACTTTTCATGACCTTGCAGTGAGTTGATACAAAAGTATACCCTCAGAAATGTAATGGTTTTAGATATTC